GAGCTAGCAATTCTCCTGCCTTAGCCTCCCAAGTGCTGGGTTACAGGTGTGCGCCACGGTGCCTGGTGAGATGCTTTTGTCCACGAGGCTGAGTCGTCGGGTGCTGGCTGTCAGCTCCCATGGAATTGGCTGTGGTGTACAGTAAGCCTCGTACATGTCTCACATAGACGCCTGCACGGCAGGCAGGACAGTGGAGTGGTTAGAGCGTCTGCTCTGGGGCCAGGCACCTGCGGCTGTGACCTTGGGCCGCTGCTCACCTCCTGTGCAGTAGAGCAGTAGCAGAAGGCGCCTCATGGGGCTGTCTGGGGGCTTTATGACTTAGCCAGGCACAGAGCTTGTGGTGGCCACGCCACAGTCCTTTTCTCGCTCGTTTCGCTAGTGCCTTCTTCAGGAAGCTTTTCTCTCGCTCACACATCCTAGCCGTGGAGCTGAGTCTTGACCCAGAGTGGGCTGGTGAACTGGCAAGAGAAACAAAAGCCATCTGGGTTAGAAGAAGAAGTAGGAAAGCTGTTTTGAACATGTGGTCATCTAGGAAGGAGAGTCAAGGGATTCTACAAAAGGCGCTCCTAGACCTAGTAAGCGCCTTCACTAAGGTTGTGAGATAAAAGAACAATACGCAAAAATCAGTTGCATTTCTGAACAGCAGCAGCGCTAGAGTTTGAAATTAAAGACCAACTCCATTTATAACAGCCTCAAAAATATGAAACGCTAGTGGTAAATCAGAAAAAAAATGTATGATCTGCACACTGAAAGCTGTCAGACATTGCAAAGAGAAATAGGAAAGATGTAAATACATGGAACAATATACCATATTGTGAATGTTTAAGTGTTTATTCTCTCCAGTAAATCAATACAGTCAGACTGAAAAATCCCAGCTAATTTTCAGGTTTTATTTTTCGAAGAAACTGACTAGTCTACAGTTTACATGGAAATGTAAGAGAGGTAGCCTAGCTAAAGAAGTTTGAAAAGATAAAATTAGAAGACTCATACTGCTTACTTTTTTAAGATCTATAAGCTGCCTTAATCAAGATGTATATATTGAGGTCAAGTCTTCTAGAAGTAGGCAAAGATTTTTTTAGACACAATACCCAAAGTATTAATTTTTAATGAAAGCGTCAGTGGATAAATTTGCCTTCATCAGAAAATTTTAAACTTACGTTTCAAAGTGGCTTTTGAAAAGCCAGTGTTTAAAGAATGGGAAGACAAGCCACAAACTGGGAAGATGTACTTGTAAATCATGTGTATGATAAAGCACTTGTGTTCAGTAGTAACACAGTAAAGCAACAAGTGAAATATTTAGACAGCTACTTCAAGGAAGATGCACGAATATAAAATGGGCGTATGAAAGGCTGCTCACTGCTATTAGTCATTAGCAAAATACAGACTTAAAGCATTGCGATTACAAGTGCAGTCTGAGCCGAGCGTGTCGGTTCACGCCTGTAGTCTCAGCACTCTGGGAGGCAGAGGCAGGAGGGTTGCAAGTGCCAGCCCAGCATGGGCAGCTTGGTGACTTAGCAAGATGCTGTCTTAAAATGAGAACCGGGAGAAGGGAGAAGGTCTGGGGGTGTAGCTGAGCGCAAAAGACCCTGGGTTCATCCCCCAGGACCACACACACAACACACGACACAAGGTGTAGGGTGCTCGTAGTTACTTGTGGTTTCTCATATAAGAGAAATAATGTAATATTTACGTTCACGTGCCTGATGTATTTCTCTTAATATCGTGGCCTCAAGGTGCCTTCATTTTCCTCCACTCGGCCCAGTTTACCCCTTGTGGCAGCGTAGCCCTCCAGGACGGGTCCAAACGCCACGTTCCCTTTGTCCATTCACCTGTGGATGGACCCACAGGACGCTTCTAAGATTTAGGTGTTGTGCTGCTTATAAACACGGGTATGCGTGGATCACTGTAACGGGATGTCCTTGCCGCTTGCACAAAGATGCCTACAAGCAGAATAGCTGGGTGGAATGGAACCTCTCGTTTAAGGCTTTGAGGGCTCTCCACACTGATTTCCACCGTGCTTACAGAAGCGATGTGGGAGGGTTCCTTTTCCCCTGCAGCCTTCCCTGCATTTGTTGTTGATTTCTTGATGATGTTTAGAAAGACCGGACGAATCAATTGTTGGCGAGGGTGTAGACAAACTGGAGCTCCCATATGCTGCTAGTAGAAATGTCATTTGGTACAGTCATTTTGGGAAAGGGTTTGACATTTCCTAAAAGGTTAAAATGCGTGACTTCTGTTACATCTCTGCATGTTTATTTGCCCCAAAGAAATGAAAACATTGTGTGCACCGCATGAAGCCTGGTACGTGAATGTTCACAGCGACTTCATTTGAAACAGCCAAAAACTAGAAACAGGGCCTGTTGTGGGGGTGCGCTCCCATAATTCCAGCACTGAGGAGGCCGAGGCAGGAGGACCGAATTCAAGGCCAGCCTGAGCTACGTAGCAGGACCCTATCTCAAAAACTAAAAGTCTGAGGAGAACTACAGTACAGCCTGATCTGATAGTGGCAGAAAACAGGTCAGTGTTGGCCTGGGGTCCTGTGGCAGCCAAGCAGGAGTGGGGAATAGGTCAGTCACTTGACTACACTGGCGTTTCACAGATACGCACACGTCAGAATATGTCACAAACAGCTCAGTGGCAGAGCACTTGCCTCGTATGCCTGAGGTCCTGGGTTTCATCCCCAGCACCACTGCCAAAAAGAAAGTCAACTTGCACACTTTAAATATGTGTTTTATTGGGCCTGGGATTTAGCTCAGCAGCTCTGCCACCTGTTTCATAAGCGCAAGGTCTCAAGTTTGATCCCCAGTACACACACACACACGCACACACACACACACACACACACACACACACACACACACACACACACACTTTTATTGTGTGTCAATCATGCCTCAAGAAGGTTGTTTTTAGAATCAATATGGTTGTTTTTAGAATGGGGGGGGCTGTGCCGACAGCCTGGTCCTGGTGCCCTTGCCGTAGCTGCAGATTAGCATGTTCTTCTGTGACCCAGCATCCCTGTGAACCCTGCACCTTTCCTGCCCTCCGGTTCATGGTTGTGCACCTACACCTCTGCTTCCTGTCCCTGTGCAAATCTGTGTCCAAACACTTGGTTCTCTGCCTTCCTACAGTGCACAGCTTAGGGTGTGGATCGTGGGGGGCCATATCTTAGTCCCAGATTCACCTGGTCCCATTAAGTGCACAAGTTGGAAGCCATTTCAAGGTGTACCTGATTACCTCATGTGTCATTAAGGTCTGGATTGTTGTCACGGCCCCAGTTCAGACGCACTTCAGTAGGATCCTCCTGGGCTTGGAGTTTAGAATTTAAGATTGCAGGGGCACAGCCAGTATCATCTCCTATTTATTGTTCCATTCTTTGCTGACTTCCAGGGCCTGGAAAGAGCCCCTCCTTCCAGACTGGCCCAGGAACAGTTCCAAGTTCAGCCGTCCCTGGCCGTGCGTCAGCACCCGTGTGCCTGAGCTGATCCCTATGTCCCGGCCAGCCTGGGGACCTCGTGGCAGCTCGGCACCGAGCAGCCTGGGCAGAGGACAGGCAGAGGGCATTCTGCCAGGGCCAGTCAGGGTGGAGGGTGGGAAGAAGAGGGCCCTGCTGTCAGCAGGGAAGAGCAGCAGATGACCCCATACGGGGACAGTCCAGTTCTGTAAAGTTTTGGCTAAGTAGAATCAACAGACTTCCAAAATCTGCACAGAATAGTCTGTTAGTGACATTTCTGCCCTCTCCCCCTCGCCCCATGCGGTACCAGCTTCACTGAGTTTGCGTTTGTCCTACCTGTGCTTCTGTCTATAAAGACAAGTGGACACATACGCAAGGACTGACCAAAACAGGGTGTTCACATAAAAGAATTTATTACAGTAAAAGACATCTTACCCTTAATCCTTTCAAAACACCCATGCACATGCGTGTACACACACACACACACACACACATACACATCCCATGCTTCCAGCCACTTTCTGCAGCAGCCCAGGAAGTCCTCTTTCCTGAGTCTCTACAAGGTTTGATAAAAAATATGGTGAATGCTGCTTCTGAGTGCCATCCAGCAGAAGGACAGGCTGGTGACAGCATTGCAGTGTGGCCTCATCCACCTTACCCACCGGATCTGGCACCTCGCAACTTCGGACGACTCCTCAAAGTCAAAATGAGCACAGAAGATAAACATTTTGTGTCAGCTTGGAACATGAAGGCAGCCAGGACAGCACAACTGTGAAAGATGATACTCGTAAAAGAGGACTTTCAGACCTGCTTCAGAAAGTGGCAAGGATAGCCGGGCGTGGTGGCGAATGCCTATAATCTCTGCACTTGGGAGGCTGAGGCAGGAGGATCACTGTGAGTTTGAGACCAGCCTGGGCTACACAGTGAGTTCCAGGTCAGCCTCAACTACATAGTGAGACCTTGTCTCAAAAAAAACAAAAAGACAAAAAAACAAAAAAAAAAAAAGAGAGAAAGAAAGTGGCAAGGACAATGAAATGTGTGTTGAAGCAAGGGGGAGTTTTTTAAGGGATGGCAGTGCATTTTTTACTCTAATAAATTAGTTTTTTGTTTTTTGTTTTGGTTGGTTTTAGTTTTTTAAGACAGGGTCTTACCATGTAGTTGAGACTGCCCTGGAACTCGCTGTGTAGTCCAGGCTGGTCTTGAACTCTGCGATCCTCCTGCCTCAGCCTTCCGAGTACTGGGACTAAGGTGTGCGCCACCATGCCTGGCAGTAAATTGGTTCTTAATGATGTAAACATTCACTGTGCTTCTCAGTTCCACCCTGTATTTTCTTCTCTCCTTCCCTTTTGACAGCAAAGATAAATACTCTTTGTGCTCTGTGCACTTGATTTTCCCAGCCGTACTAGTTCTCGCCGTGTCACACACAGGACAGGGCACTGACTCGTACTCACGGGGCGGATGTGAGAGGACAAAGTGGCCCTGGTCCCCTTAGCCCGCAGAGCCTGCACCTGGATTGTAAGTGAGTCTCTCTCCTCTTGCCATGCAGATGGGGGCAGCCACGCCATTCCTGACTCCCGGATCCCCATTCTGGTCTCTGGGGCCGAGAGCTCCCCAGCCAGCCCCACCCGACACGACTGGGAGATGAATTACCAAGAGGCGGCCATCTACCTCCAGGTGAGTCTCGGCGGAGTCAGGGAGCTGCAGGCTGAGGAGCCACGCGCACCCCTCCTCCTCTGACCCCGGGGTGCCCCGAGTCTGCCCTCTTGGGCTTCTTTGTCCAGTGCGTCTTCCCAGACCGTACCAGGAGGTGAGTTCTTGGGAGGGAGGAGTTCTGCAGTCCTTACACAGTGTGGCTGCTCCGTTTTATTCACCCTGTGTCCATTTCTGCTGTTTCATGTTATTTTTGTTTGTTTGTTTGTTTTTTTTCCTGTTTTGGAAAACAGTACTATTCTATAAAGTAATATATGCTCATTCTAAGTAATTTGATACAAAGAGGAAATGAAAAAAGCATTCACCCAAGGCAGTCTCTGTTGACATTATTTCCTTCCATATTAAAACAAAATACAAGCTGAGCATGATGGCAAATTCTAATCCCAGGATTCCAGGAGGCTGAGGCAGGAGTACTGCTTGAGCCCACAAGTTTGAGGCCAACCTGGGCAATGTAGCATAAAGCTGTATCACTGTTGTGTGACTATCATGTAAGTGTCTTTAAATTACATCAAGTAAATTTCCTGAATGTACTTAGCTATTTTGATAATCTTGGGTACGTGTTTCCCTTGTTACACATTTACTTGATCATAAATAATAATCCAAGGAAAGCCTATACTAAGAATTCTCTGTCTCTTTCTCTCCTACCCTCTCTCACACATCTAGGAATTTTTTACTAGGAAAAAAAAAAAAGACTCTTGGAAATGTACTGGGTGGGAGGAATGGCCCTTTTGGGGGCTCCCTGCCCCGAGGAGCTCTCGCCTCTGTCCTGTCACTCACCGGCTGTGGCATCTTATTGTTATTATTCTTGTTGCTAGAAGACTTCCATTTCTGACGTCCATTGAGTAAGAGTTTGAGGGAGGAAATACAGTTTTTCTTAAATCCATTGGAACGATAACTTTCCCTAATTTTTTTGAAGCAGTTCTCTGTGGAATTACTGATTTTGTCCATTTTTTTTTAAAGGTTGTAATTAAATCCAGATATGTGCTTGATGCTGGCTCAGCCATGGTGTGTTTCTCGCATTCTTGAGCCGGTCACACACAGCCGCACTCCTACACAGGCGCGTTGGACCAGTCTGGGGCGGTAGAATGTTCCAGAAACCCACAGCCTGCTTGGGTGGGCGTCCCTGTGAACAGCTCTCAGGGCCCCTGAGGCCTCTGAGGTTGAGTAAGAGCACAAGGTCCGTCAGAACTCTGAATGAGAATGGCTCACTGGGCTCGGGAATCTGGTAATTCCTTCTTTTCCCCAGCGGGTGCGAAGCATTGGGAATAAAAATGACTTTGAGGGGCAGCTGTTCGTCTTCTGAAGACTGTCCCAGGCTGGGGTGAACGGCCCCTGCTCTGTCAGTGTGGCAGCTGCTGCTCAAAATGGCGAAGTGATGCCCGAGGCCTAGAGGCCACTGACTAGGGCCCTGTACCCGAGGCCAGGGTTCAGTCCCTAGTGCCACAAAACAATCAACTGTCTGTCTGGCTTCCAGTTGATGTCCTTTCTTCTACACCTTCTTGCTACATTTCCATACCCGACTGCATATCTCCATTTGAAACCGGACCGTGTGCTTCAAAATAGAGGTCATGGAACATCAGGTGTAACGCGGTCACTTTTGGGTTTTTTTTTTGTACCGGGGATCGAACTTGAGTCCCTGTGCTTGCAAGGCAGACGGCGGAACCACTGAGCTAAATTCCCAGCTAACACGGTCTCTTTTGGAAACTGGGCTTGGGGGGCGGTGCTGTAATCACAGCACTCAGGAGGCTGAGGCAGAAGGATCACCTTGGGTTCTAGCCCAGTGGGGGCAATTTAACAACACTCTGTCTCAATGTGAAAAATTAAAAGGGCTGGGGATATAGTTTAGTGTGTGTCTCCAGGTTCAGTCCCCAGTACTTAAAAGAAAACGTGTCTGACTGAGGGAGTTCTGGTTCCCTTTTAAATCTGTATGTTAGTTGAAGTATTTTATAAAAAATGCATCATTTTCTAAAAATGAAAGGAGAAGGCAGATGCCTGTGGGCAGCTGTTCCCAGCTGTTCCCGGTGCAAGTCGCCGCCCGTGTATGGGGCCCTTAACTGCCCTGTTTTGCCCAGGCTGGAACCTGAGCACCCCCGTCCCTGGGAGCCCGGGCTCCGTGGTCCTGAGACAGTGCTGGGGTCCCGAGGACCTAAACTGGGGAACAGAGTGGGAGCCTGGGAGTCGGGGCCAACCGACTTCGGATTTGTCCTTATCCGGTTCACAGACTGCAGCCGGGAAACACGCCCGGTGTCCTCTGCATTGGGATTGGAACCTGGGGATGTGGGTGGTGTCTCCCCCAGCTTGGCTGGTGGAGCTCTCGGTTCTGACGCCTTGGCGGCGATTCCCAGTCCTGGAGTTTGGATCTGAGCCCTCCTGTTACCAGCTTCCTGTAGCCAGGACTTCCTTCCAGCTGTTTGTTGGGAGAAATTGCACAACAATTGCATTTTTTTAGTAATTCAAACCAGAAGCTTCCCGGGCCCCCGAGTGTGCCGCCGCCTGCCCCCATGGTCACGGAGCTGGCAGTGACAGCCATGGCCCACCCTGCTCACCCCATTTTGGCTGCCCAGATGTGTGCCCTTGGTGGGGGCTGTCCCTGCCGGGTCTGTGGTGTGTCTTGTTTTTGCTACTGAGGGCAGAGCTCTCTCTAGCTCCGAGTCGTGAGGACCGTCCATGCGTGATGGCAGCGTGGACCGCGCTCCCCGACACCGGGCTCCTTCCCTGGGGCCCAGGCTCACCCTGCTCTGCCCACACCCTCTGACGACAGTGAGGAGTGGGCACAGCTGCCCAGACTTGGCCCGGGATGGGGACAGGATCTTAGTGTGTCATGGGGCCATGCAGAGACACTGAGCTCAAGACACCAGCAGCGTCCCCTACCCTCCATGCACAGTGATGTCCAGAAATGTCCCAGTCTTGTCCACGGTCAGGGTGGGAGCCGCCCCCCCAAAGGAACACAGAAGCAAGGCAACCGTGCAGCTGGCGTCAGCCACGTAAGTGTGCCTGGTGTCACTGAGTGCCGGCTGCCAGGTGACAGTGGACAAAGCTGGTGAAGTGAGGAGCCCCCATTCCCAGTTGCATTAGCAAGGAGGTCAGCGGGGCCTTAAGGTGTCACCCGCTGTGTTCCCAAGGGAGCGTTCTAGGCCATTGATTCCCTGTGATGTTAGCAGGAGGCCATGGTAGTGAATAGCAGGGCTCTGGAGCTGCTGCTGGCCTGGGACTGCCGGTGCTCCGGGTCCTCACTACATGAGGTCCTCTCACCTGTCAGCAGGTGATGACAGCACTGCCCTGGGGACATTGTTAGGAGCAATGGGCACAGGGCACAGGTGAAGGGCTGGGCACCGTGCTGCTACTAGCTAGCACATGGCCCGGGATCGCTGCTCCCTTTTATTATTTCCAGCACTGGGGAACAAACGCAAGGCCTTTGTGTGAAGCTATATCTGTTCCCAGTCCCTTTTATCTTATTATTTTGAGACGGATCTCACTGTGTCACTAAGTCGTGCAGGCTGAACTTGAACCTGTGGCCTTCCCGTTCAGCCTCCCAGAGTGTGTGCAGCGCCATGCCTGGCTGTCACCCACCATCGCGTTACTGTTGGGGTGAAGGAGTCGAAGGCAAAGCCCACTGTTTTGAGTAGTTAGGAAGTTAGAAACAACCAAGAGCTGTAGCTGGAGAAGTGGGGTGTGGGGAACGCGACAGCTGTGTGCCGGGAAAAGGGCTGTCCGCAGAAAGATGGGGAGAGGCTGGAGCAAGGGGGCCTGGGCACGGTTGGCGGGAATGGGAGTTGGGAAAGCAGCACAGAGTCCTCAAAGAAAGAAGTAATTGTATTCACTTTGGCAGCACATAGACTAAAAGCTTGAAAGTAGAGGGGCAGGTGGTGCACACATCATCTCAGGAAACTGAGGCAGGAGAACCGTGATTTGAAGACCAGCCTGGGCAACTTAGGAGACTGTCAAAAGTAATGACAAAAAGGCCTAGGGATATTGCTTAGTGGTAAGAGTGCTTGCCCTTCATGTGTGAGGCCCTGAGTTCAATCCCCAGTACTGAAGGAAAAAAAAAAAAAAAAGAACTTCTACATGATCCAGCAATCCCAATTCTAGGAATGTTATCAGAAGTCTTAAGACAAACACGAGGAAGAGACGTCTTATTCCTGTGCAGCATTGTGTGAGTAGCCAAGATATAGAATCAAGTGTCCACTGGTAGATGCATAAAGAAAATGTTTCTACACACAATAGAATACTATGCAGCCTTGAAAAGGGGAAATCTTGTCATTTGCAACAACATGCAACATGGATGAACCTGTTAAGTGAAGTTAAGTGAAATAACTCAGGCACCAGAAGACAAATGACTGTGTGACCTCACTTACATGAGGGCTCTAAAAAAAGCTGAATTCATAGAAGTAGAGAGAAGAACAGTGGTTACCAGGGGCTGGGGATAAGAGTCGGGAATGGGGAGATTTTGGTAAAAGGGTAGAAAGTTTCAGTAGAGGAGAAGAATAAGATTTTGGGAGCTACCATGTAGCATCGTAACCATAGTTAATGTGGTATAGGCTGGATGTGGTGGTGCACACCTATGATCCCAGCACTTGGGAGGCTGAGGCAGGAGGAGGTCCATGAGTTGGAGGCCAGCTTGTGCTACATAGTGAGTTCAAGGCCAGCCTGGACTACATAGGGAGACCCTGTGTCAAAAAACCCAAAAAGCCAAGTATATATTTAAAAACTTCTAAGACAGATTTTATATATCCCACCACACACACACACAGGTAAATGAGGTGACGATATGGTAATTAGCTTGATTGAATCATTCCCTAATGTGTCCATGTAACAAAATATCACACCCCATAAATGATGCAATTCCTATTTTCAGTTAAAAGTGTAGAAGTACAAAGGAAAGACCAAAAATTAGAGACTCAGGGTGTGGGCAGTGTGAGTGTAGCGGAAGTCAGCAGGGCCACAGGCGGCTCTTGGTGGACCCGCTGGCCTGGCTCCCTTTTCCTAACGTTACCGTAATGGCGAATATGGGGGCCTCACGATGTGACGGCCGCTGTCCCGGGCCTGGCAGGTGGCCTCCCTCCTCACCGTGTTTCCTGGGAAGCTCTAGCGCTGTCCACCACGGAGCCTGGGACAGTCGGGACTTTCCGGGTCCCCAGGGGAAGCAGGGCTCCACCGCCCAGCGAAGAACTCGGGGCAGGAGTTTGGGCTCTGCGGCCTCGCAGGCGCCCCCTCCCCCGGTCTTTCTGTCTCTGGGTCCCCGGGTTCTCTGCAGCCAGTGCGGCTTCGTGGCGATGGTGACGGTTCACGTCTCGCGTCTCTGCACCCTGGCCCTGTCCTCTGGGCCCCCAGGGCTGCCTTCCCTCCCTGCCACCCGCACAACTGTGTCCACAGGAAGGCGAGAACAACGACAAGTTCTTCACCCACCCCAAGGATGCCAAAGCGCTGGCGGCCTACCTCTTCGCACACAACCATGTCTTCTACCTGATGGAGCTGCTCACCGCCTTGCTGCTGCTGCTGCTGACGCTGTGTGAGGCTCCCGCTGTGCCCGCGCTGCGCCTGGGCATCTACGTGAGCACGGGCGGGGGGCGGCACACTGGCTGCAGTGGGC